TCAAGGTAGGGAGGCCTGGGGACGAGACTGGTGGTGCAGGCGGGATCAAGTACATCACGTAAAGGAGTTGAAGTTTGGTTCTCAGGCATTGCGGAGGCATGAAAAGTTTAAACAGGTTTTGGGAATACTAGTTTGTTTTGATAACATTTAATGCCCTAGAAATCATTAATTAGATAGTTTGATAACACCCTCAAGCATGGTGGATTTAATTTTTAAGCTGTGAAAGTAGTATGAAGTATAAAATTTTGATCTTAATGGTAAAAAAGTTAAATATGTACATAAGTGTCTGCAGCAGTAAGTCAAAGTTCCCTCTTTCCTAACTTAATCCTACCTTGAAGCAGTAACTCAAGGTGATGCTTTTGTATATGTGCATGCATAAGCTTTTATGAGCATTCCTAGGTGTTTTTCTGTCTTAATGTAGATAAGGTCATACTACTTTTTTAAAAAAAATATTTATTTATTTTGGAGAGAGGGTGGGTAAGTGGGGAGAGGGAGGTGGGCAGAGAGAAACTCAGGCAGACTCCCTGCTGAACGGGGAGCCCAGTGTGGGACTCAGTCTCACACCCATGAGATCACAACCAGAGCCAAAACCAAGAGTCAGATGCTCAACCAACTGAGCCATCCAGGCGCCCCCACATATGACTCTTAAACAAAAAGACAACCCAATGTACAAAAATGTACAAAGTGTTTGAATAGACATTTCTCTGAAATGGCCAATAAGCACATGAAAACCTGTTCATCACAATTAGTCATAGGAAAATTCAATCAAAGCCACAATGAGATACCACTTTACAACCACTGGGGTGGCTGCAGTAGAAGATTATCAAGTGCTGGCAAAGATTTGGAGAAATGAGAAGCTTTATACACTGCTCATGGGAATGTAAAAACGGTGCAGCCACTTTGGAAAACAGTTTGGCAGTTCTTCAGAAGGTTAAATATAATGTTACCATGTGACCCTGTGATCTCACTCCAGTTATATATCCAAAATATATATATGTCCACTCAAAAATTTGTACACAGATGTTCATAGGAGCATTTTTGATAGTAGCCAAAAAATTAAAAACAATCTAAATGTCCATCAGCTGATGAATGGATTAAAAAAAAATGTGGTATATCCATACAAAGGAATAATATTTAGCAATCAAAGGAATAATACTGATACATATAAAAAAAGATAAGGTCATAATATATATATTTTCCTACAATTCGCTTTCCCCCACAGTGCGCACTATATTTGATGTATTCTTGGAGTGTAGGAATGACCTTCCTAAACCCAGTCCTCATTCCCCGGCATAGAGCCAAGGCATTTGGAACTCTGTGCTGAGTCCCGAAAGGTCCTGCAGGAACAGGCCATGCCTTCCACTGGACTTCATGCTGTCATTTTCTGCCACTTGCTTTTTGTCTTCAGTTTTCACCTCATGGACTCAGTTTCTAGAACATATGAAATACCTTCTGAATTTGGGTTTTTGTTCATGTTGTTCCTTCTGTTTAGACTTCTTTCACCCTAATCTTCTCATGGCAGTGGTTGTTCTCTTCAGGCTTTAGTTTACATTTTACTTTAGAAGGACCCTTTCATTTTTTTTCTTTATTTAAACAAAATATTAAGTAATCTCTGCCTCCAATGTGGGGATCAAACTCACAACCCCAAGATCAAGAGTCACATGCTGTACTGATGGAGCCAGCCAGGTGCCCCCAGAAGGACCCTTTCTTAGTAGTGTATTTCCAACATGTTCTCTCTGTCTTCCTCAGTACCTTTTGTTTCCATGTAACATTTGTTATCAATTCTCAATTGATTTGTTTGCTCTCTTTCACTTTCCCTCACTAAAGTAGGCTGTAAGTTCCATGAGTGCAAGAACTATTTCATTTAGTATTACATGTGGATCAACCTCATCTTTTTAAAGACTATGGCATATTCCATTTCATGTATGTATCCTTTTGGTACCAGTCCCTTATTGAAGAACTTTAAAGTTGTTTTTCTGATTTTCTTATCAAAACACCAGCAACAAATTAAAAATTCTCTCTCTCTTCCATGTGCATGAAGTTGCTGGATTGAATGATTTAGGTCTTCAAACTTTTGATAGATACTAACAATTCTTAAAAAGATGGTACCATTTCATATGACATCAGTAGTGAGAGTCATGTCTGCTTACCTTCAGGCCTTCACTCCTGCCTATTGGCAGACTTTGGCAGATCGACTGTGGTGTGTGTCATTGTTTCAGCTTCTATGCCTATAATTATGTCTAAAGTTGAACATATTTCATACATTCTTTTGGATTTCTTTTTACGGAAACTTCTCATTTAATCTTTGACCATTTTTCCTGATAATTGATCTTTTTTCTTGTTGATTCAGGCTTTTTATTAAAAAATGCTTTTCTGGGGGCGCCTGGGTAGCTCAGTTGGTTGAGCGACTGCCTTCGGCCGGGTCATGATCCTGGAGTCCTGGGATCGAGTCCCGCATCGGGCTCCCTGCTCAGCGGGGAATCTGCTTCTCCCTCTGACCCTCCCCCCCTCATGTGCTCTCTCTCTCTCTCTCTCATTCTCGCTCTCAAATAAATAAATAAATAAATAAAATCTTTAAAAAAATGTTTTCCTGTCTGTAGTCTTATAGGAAAGTTATACTGTGTGATATATCATTGCCATTGACTTTGGAACTGTATGGGGCTTTTCATCTCTTTACATAGCCTGATAATAGCTAAATGTGCTAAAAGAACATATTAGAGATAAGTGTATTTAATAGTTTCTTGTTGAAACTGGTAATAGTTTTTAAATGTCAAATATATAATATGTCCTGAATAAAATATCTTGGGATAAATGAGTGACAAATGTAAAATTACTTTTTAGTGAAATTTGCTTTTCATAGTAGGAAATATTTTTTTCTTAAGAGTTTCCAGATAAAAATATAGGTTGCCCAGTTAAACCTGAATCTTAGATAAACAATGATTTTTTTTTTTTTTAAAAGTATGTCCCAAATACTACATCATGGTAAGGAAATGTAACATATCGATTAGTTAAAAGACAAGATTGCTTTGTGGCAGTTTATAGAAGTGTGGGATTTGTGGCAGTCAGAAACATTTTTTTAGAAGTTTTGCTTTGTGTAAATAGATCTCTATATGTCCACACGTAAGTATGATTAATGAATTCTGTGAATTATCTTTTAACATTTGCCTCTTTGTCAGTTCTCTCAAGGTAACAGACTTTTGTGACAGCAGTTTATTTTCTCTCCCAGTATATTTTGCAAATATACTATTACACATTTGAAAGAAAAGACATGTTAAAAGTTTCCTTTTAGGCTCCTTATAATCCAGCCTCCATCAGCCAGTGCTCTTCCTGTATTTTGTTCGCGAGGCACTAATTGTCCGCATTTGGCAGGTTTAACACTTCCTGACAGAGAGGCTATTAAGGGGAGGTATTCTCCAATAACTGTCACTGGCTTGAACAAAGAACCTTCAAATTCAATGTGTGGAAACCACTAACATTCTTAAATGACCCTTTTCATGGATTTTTATCCCTTCAAGCTAAAATTTGGAGAATGTAGGGTCAGCGAAAACAGCAAGGTGTAATAAAGCAGTAAACCTTGATTTTTGGGAGAGTAGACTGGGAGGTATAGATTTATCTCTGACTTGAAAACAATTGTTATTTGGAAAATCTCATTAGCAGATGCTTGGAGTTAAAAAAAAAAAAAAAGGACTTAAAACTGATGTCGCTTTCAGGACCGCTTTGAACTTAACAAGCACCTATTTGTGGAGCAGACTGGCTAATGAAAGGAAATTAAATTTTTCTGACAACTTCCCCTGCCAACCTCCTTATTCAGGGGATGTTATTAGGTACTGAAGACTTTTTAAGGAAGATTTTTTTTTTTATTAGACATAAATGAACCGGTTATAAACATCCCCCGCCCCTCCTTTTGGGGGAGGATTCTGACATGGTTACTCTACATTTTTAAATTACTAGCTTAAAGACTTACAAAATACCAGGCTTCACTTGAATATTTTAAAGCAATTTTCCAAAAAGTCAAGCATTCTCACTAGCTAATGGTTTCAAAACATTATCATTTCTTGTGATTAGTTTACATCTCTGAGTTGTAAAGAAAAGACACATTTACTAGGGAGACTTGGATTTAACACCTTTTCAGCTTTCTCCTTACTGTTCCATGGGGAAATGTATCAGGAGTGTCCTGTGCTCATGTGTTAGGTGAGTTAATGATCAATGAAATGGTTTAGATCCGAGGGAACATTTTCTTCTCTCAGTTGCATTGGTTGATATTTAGCAATAATTAATCCTTATATCCACCAACTCTTACCTTGTACTTCTTTGAGAGGCATTTGCTTTCCTTGGCTTTTTCGAAGTTTTCCCCCACAAGTTGGTTCATGGAATTTAAGGTTTTAAATTACATAACAAAATGTACCTAGTGAAGATAAAGTATGTACCTGAGAAAAGGATGAGAAGAAAAGGGAAAAGTAATGAAGACTACTAAAGGAATTGTTTTGGGGGGGGGGGAACAATTGGCAATTTCTGTAGATACTGCTGAAAATTTACTTTTTGTTTCTAGAAAATCTTGAGCCTCTCCCAAACAATAGAGAATCAACTCCCCCTGCTGACAGAATCCAGGAAAACATGACATGTAAATATCAGAGGGACAGAAACAAGCTGGCCGTAGACAAGCTTTAATGATTTGATTTATGATTCAGTATTGATTGTAAACATCTAAATTCTGCTGTTAAATTCCAGCAACTGCACCAAATCATTTGGCAATTCTGGTAGTGCTTCCTGCCAGCTAATTTCAAACTGCTTTGAGTTTCTTAATATAATAATGATGAGGTAGAATTTACATTCCACTTATGGTATTAATTTTACATTTCTCTGAATGAAAAGAGGTAGAAGGTTGTAAAATTGAACATTAAATGAATCAGAGGAGACAGTAGTGCAATATATGACTGCCCTAAAGACATTGTGCAAGGGCTGATGGGATTAATGTTGGATCTCATTTCCTGCTTTTACAGGATGCAGATGAAGCTGTCAGAATTGCAAGGGAAATTGGTAAGTTCTTAAATTAACCTTGTTAGAGTTTCTAGGTCTTTCAGCAGATACGGTTGAGTAAACGTGTAATAAGTAACCCCATAGAGCAAATGATATTTTAATACTTTCAGAATTTTGATTACTTGTCCCTTTGGAAGAATGTATCAGCTGAATTACTATGTTCTGTTATGAAAGAGAACTTTAAAGAGTAATTTGACTTTAATTACAGCTCTTTTGTAAGTTGAAATCACGGGCTAGTTAAAGGAGGAATTGTCTTAACTCTTGAGCTTGGATGTAATGTAAATTTTATGTACTTAGTTGAATACAACTTATTAAGGTTAAAGACATAGATGATTAAAATGAAGATTTCCTGTTTGACAAGGCCCTTCAAGTTTTTACCTTTTCTTAAGATGTTAAATATCACCTTTTAATAACCTTGCTGGAAAGAGAATGTGAGAAATCAGAACTGAATATTCTAAATTGGAGTAAAAGGTAAACTGAAGGACTGTTTTACTTGACTGTTTTAGGTACAGTTATACTGGGGCAGGGCTTATCAACTTTTTACTTTAAAAAATATTCCTATTGCTCATGACTACGATTCTATTTTCAGTGTCTGCTAATTAAAAAAATGTATGAGGGCATATATTGTTATCAGGGATTAGTAACGCTATTAAATAACTTTACAATTGTATTAAGCAAATTAGTATTTGTATACATTTGACAGAACTTTGTAGGTATGTGAGAGAAATCAGACAATGCTTGGCAGTCAGGAAATTTCAGCATCTTAGCATTCCTACTTGGGTAGGGCCAAACTTTTCAGCATCCCACATTAACATTTCTTTAGTCCTGTTTTCTCATTAAGATTGATGACTCAGAATTATTTTTTTCACTGGTAGAGCATTTGATTTGGCAAAATTTACATAGAGGTGTGTGTAGATGGGTGTGTGTGTGTACACGTCTTATTTCTGAAAGTAACCAATTGAGTTAGTAAATACATTCTTTACAATAGGCTCAGGCTAGCTTAACAGTTATTCAGTGATCTGGAAAGTTGTTTGGTTTGTTGGGTCCCTGTTTCTAGTTGGGTCTGGCTGAATTATTTTAGTTTGGCTCATGGTTAAGTGTGTTTTGTTGTTTATTTGTTTTACAAACATTGCTGCTACTGATGTAGATTTGGACTTAAGACCAGGTCTTAGAAAATCTTATTTTATCTGACTGCAGCGTCTCTTCCTTAGTCATTTCTTCAGACATACCAACATTTTCAAAAAGCATTTCAGTACTTCACAGAAGATTTGCTAGATTGTTGAGTAAGTTGGACTACTTGGAACTGATTTGTGGTTTATTCTTTGAGAAAATCAAAAGCATCTCTCTGAGGTTTGAAATCACTGGCATTCCTCACAGCCTAAGAGGCATGGAGCATACCTGCTGGCTTTTGAGGAGACTTTTTTCTAAAGTAATTTCATTGTATACTCTTAGATTTAAAAAGTTGTCTTTCTGGTTCTAGTTTAGATAGTATTGTTATTAACTCCATAATACTATTAGCACAATAATATTTACATTAAAAGGACAGAATGGAGGAATTTAGAGAAATGAAAGGGATTAGAAGACTATCATGAATTACATTGGCATGCCATATTTCGAATTATGACTCTTCAACTCTTGAGCGTTTCCTTTGTATAAATGGCAGGCTGCAGATTGTTTGCTTTCATGTCTGGTCTTTTTTTTTTTTTTGATAATCTGTGACCTTTAAAATAATCAGTTAATCATAATGGGACTCTGAATGGTTCTCATCACTTGGCTTTCCTGCCTTAATATTTTAATGCTGTGCTTTACTCCCCTTTGAGCTTACTCCGGAGGTTACCTAATTCGATCTCAGGCTCTTTTCTTTATATTGAGGGATAACCTTTATGACTCCTTCCTCCTTCCTATCTTTTAATTCTTCTCCAATTATGCCTTCTCATTTGTGAAATAAATGATCGTAATCATGGCTGTTAAGTGTCAGAGGGCTAGTGTTTTGCTTATGCTGAAAGGGAAGCCATAAAACTTGAGGTGAAATAAAACATAATAAAGAACTACGGTCATCAGCTTTATAAAGCATTTGGATTTTCCCTGAAACCCCTTCTGAATCACCACGGAAACCTCCCATAAAACTTTTCCCCTCAAGTGCCAGCTTCTAAAATAAATGAAATTACATATTATCAGTCTCTTGGTATTCTGTTTCATTTGGTGATTCATCAGTTTTGTTTTCTACTGATTTTATTGAGATCTACCACATTTTAACTACATTATGATTCTGATGGGCCTTTGTGAATTCATCTGAGAGTTAACTTAAACATTGATTCCACAGGAAAATATGCTCCTAGTTCTAAACAACTGAATTATAATCAAACCTTTGAACCTGTCCATTCATAGGTAGCAGATTGCCTATGTCATATATACCTATTTACAGATTTCTCTGCTTTACTTCTTTCTGTGTTACATGGAGAAAATAAATTGATCATCTTTTCTGTGGTTCCCTCCTCTCTTGTGTCTTCTCTTCTGGAAACAGGAATCTATGAGGCCAAAAGAGGAAGCTAACTGCTTTGAGCATTGATGTATTAGGTGTCTTTTACATAATAGTAGCTCTTGTTTATGGAGCCTTTTTTCCCTGTAGCAGGCACTTTGTGACTGTTATTTCTAATGCTAATTCTTGGGTTAATTATTTTCATTTACATTTAAGAAACTAAGGATTAGAAATAATAAGTAATTTGCTCAAGGTCACAGACCTACTGAGTGGTGGGCCTGCTTTGAATTTAGGTTCATTTAGTGCCAAAGACTATGGATTTTTCATTATACTTTTGCAAAACTAATGGGATTAGAGGATGAGAGCTAAAATTTGAGTCATCACTTTGTGTAAGATACTGTAATGCACTTAAGCATGTTATATGTGGATTTAAAGAACCAGCCTCTTATCAATGATAGGGTGAGAGACCATTAAAGCTAATATGTTGCTTTTGTGTGCTTGTTTTTTGGTCTTCCTTGTCTCTCTCATTCTCACTCCTGACTTTTTCCTTTGACCTCTCTAAGTTTAGAGATACAGGGCTATTGATCCCCAGTTTATCTTTAACCTCAGCGATAGACAACAGTAATCAGCTTGATTTGCATTAAAGTTTGATCTTTTTACTTGATCAAAGGTCTTCAATACAATCAAACTGAATTGATTCCTAAAAAAGAAATTGGAAACTAAAACCTGTCCTTTAACCACCTCCGGATTATTCAGATTCTTTTCTTTTGCCCATCTTTCTCAGAATCACAGATCTTGCCTGATTTAAATAAAAATTTTTTTGATCCTCAGATTCACCATCCTCTAAGCCTGCTTCACCCACAGTTTCTACATCTCAGCAGATGTCACTCCTTTTACTCAGGGGCTAAAGCTAAAACCCAAGGTCCGTCCTGGTGTTGTTGCCCTGTCATCCTGTTGTCAACATTACCAGTAGATACCGTCAGTCCTTCGTTCAAAGTAACCTCCCATATTCATTACTCACTTTTACTACCAGTTTACTACCAGTCCTCTCTCCCAAACTACCGTTGTCCTTGCAGGGACTGTGACAATACTTTCTCTACTTCTTTTCTTAAACACTTCAAAGTCATTCTTCACATAACTGTCAGTGTGATATTTTAAAACTCTAAGCAATAAGGACACACCCCATCTCATCCCATACCATATCTGCTTTAAGCCCTCTAATGGCTTTTCCTTGCATTTAGATAAAATCAAAATTCCTTCCCCTGACTACAACCCCAAATGATTTGGCACCTGCCTTTCCCTCCAGTCTCATTTTAGACTACTCCCTTCATTGCCTACTGTGCTTTAGGTACACTGGCTTTCTTGAATATACCAAACTTCAGAGTCTTAGAGTAAGGGTTGTTTATTTTGGGGGGTGGGGTAGGGGGGTTCTTGAATACTCTAGCTGATATTTTCACACAGATGGCTCCTTGTAGCCTTTCGTATATTGGCTTACATGTCATTTCTTCAAAAGAAGACACTCTCATATTGCCGCTCAGTCATTCCTCTTATAACCATATTCTTAATCTGTGTAGATGTTTTTCTTGTTTGTTAACTTTTTCCTCTGTTATTTTGAAAAATTTCCAATCATACAACATTTTGAAAGAATTTTACAGTGTGTACCTATATTCCCATCATCAGGATTCCACTATTAATTTTTTGGAGATTTGCTTTATCATTTATCCATTTGTTAATCCATCTTGATTTTGGTGCATTTCAGAGTGCTGTTGCAGATATGTATCCCACTAGATACTTTAACATAGAATTATATGCATACATATATGTATTGGACATGACTGTCACCCCAGAGAGTTCCTTCATGCTCCTTCCAAGTCAGTCCTCACCATTTTCCCCAGGTCCAGAGTCAGCTAGTTCTAAATTTTTATAGTAAAGATTTGATTTTTAGGGCTCCTGGGTGGCTCAGATGGTTAAGCGTCTGCTTTCGGCTCAGGTCATGATCCCAGGGTCCTGGGATCGAGTCCCGCATCAGGCTCCTGGGATCGAGTCCCGCATCAGGCTCCCTGCTCCTTGGGAGCCTGCTTTTCCCTCTGCCTCTCTCTCTCTCTGTCTCTCATGAATAAATAAATAAAATCTTTAAAAAAAAAGATTTGATTTTTAAAAAATTGAGATAAAATTTCAATACTATGAAAGTCTTTCAAAGTGTGCAATTCCGTGGTTTTTAGTATAGTTACAATGTTATGCACCCATCATCACTGTCTAATTCCAGTACATTTTTATTGCCCCCAAAGGAATCTCTGTACTCATTAGTATTCACCCCCTTCTGCCCTCCAGCCTTGGCAACCACTAATTTATTTTCTGCCTCTATGAATTTACCTATTCTGAATGTTTCATAAAAATGGCACTTTTTGTGTCTGGCTTCTTTCACTTAGAGTTGTTTTCAAACTTCATCCATGTTTTACTGTGTATCAGGTTTTATGACTGAGTCGTATTCTGTTCCATGAGTATACCACTTTGTTTTTAT